TTTCAGTTTGTATTTCTACTTCTGCAATTGTAACCATGTTCTGATTCTTCTGTCCTTTCTATTACACTATTGATCCTATCCAATGAGTTTACTGTTCCAGATATTGTATTTTGTAAAATGTCCCCTTGGTTCCTTTCTATAGTTTTTTTTTTGCTCTTCTAAAGACATCCATTCATTTGAAGTACATATACCTCTGCCTCACAGAACAGTTATAATAGCTGTGTGTGTGTGTGTTTTAAGTTTTTTTTGTTTATTTTTTGCCATAGGGTGCATGTGCTTGTGAGACAGAGAGATAGGTGACAGAAATATTCTGTATTTTTCTTTTTAATGCCAAAGGACATCTGCATGAGAGAGAGAGAGAAAACTATTCAATAGGACCTGCTCCATTTCCTAAAATTCCTCATCTTGTCTGGATCCTGTACATGTGCATGCATGCTCAGCATGTTTGTTACACCAATGGAGCCAGAAGTCGTCAGTCACAAGGGATCTGGCTTCCTCTACAGAATGCTGTGCTATGGGACAGTCCTATTCTGAATTTAGATTACCAGCAGAGGTACATGACTATATATTTGTGAAAGCTCATGGATGTGCACACCAAAAGAGTGGATATAAATATATAAACGAAAACATTTTAAATTAATAAAATGATGGCTGGGACCAGCAGTTGGTGCAATGGCTATGTCACTGGACTCCCATGTAGTCAATCGCGGTTCGAGTCCCAGACCTAGTAACTTAAATTCTCACTGGGCGCATGTTCATGCATGCCCAAGATGCCAAGAGGAGAATGTAGGAGAAGGGACTGCAGCGTGGCCAACACCCTGCGGGGCGATTTCTTGCTTTCTGTCTCTGTCTTTCTGGCAAGCGCACATGCCCTATAGCAAAAATCTCTCCAAAAAAAAGACATGGCTTATGACAAAAGGCTGAAGAGACCAAAATGCTTGTTTTTTTGAAACACACATTTATAAAGCACTTTGTAACCTGTTTTCAAAAGAATCCACAAAATTATCTGCACCAAAAATCAGGAAGACAGAAAATAAAGGAATGCAATCCAACACAGAGTAGCTAAATTTAACTTTAAAGCTATACCTGAAATATAGTATGTGAATTATATCTCAAATTGTTATTTAAAAACAAAAGTAAAGAAACCATATCTGAAGGACTTATTTCCTCTACCACAGTTTCCCAAACTTGCCTAATAAGAATCTTACATAACTTGTTAAACATATATTTCCAGCCTAGTCTCAGTGGTATAGGCAGTAGTGTACTGATCTGTAGTGCTGGAAGTCACATGGCTGACCCAAAGTTCATATCTTGATTAGACCTGAAACATGTTAGGGACCAGCAGTTAGCGTAATGGCTATGTCGCTGGACTCCCATGTAGTTGACCGCGGTTCGCATCCCGGACTCGGTGGCTTAAAACTCATGCCGGGTGCGTGTGCGTGCGTGCCCAAGATCCCGAGAGGAGAATGGAGGAGAAGGGATTGCGGCGTGGCCATTCCCCCTGGGGGGTGGTTTCTCACTTTCTGTCTCTCTCTGTCTGGCTGGTGAGCGCATGAGCCCTATAGCAGAAAAACCTCTCCAAAAAAAAAAAAAGGCCTGAAACATGCTGGGTAAATGTATACTCGAGATCCTGACTAACTAGAAGAATGGAAAAAAAGGATCATAGCATGACAAGACCCTATTGAGGGTGCCTGTCTCTCACATGTGTGCAGCTTCTTTCAGGAAAGAAGGAAAACAAATATGCCTAAAAAAAAAAAAAGAGAAGATAGTCCTATGCCTCTTCCCTGGAGAGTCTGACTCAGTAGTTTAGGTTGAGGGCGGGGGTCAAGAACTATATATGGGGAACCAGCAGTTAGCGTAATGGCTATGTCGCTGGACTCCCACGTAGTCGACCGCGGTTCACGTCCCGGACCCGGTGGCTTAAAACTCACGCCGGGCGCGTGTGCGTACGTGCCCAAGATCCCGAGAGGAGAATGGAGGAGAAGGGATTGCGGCGTGCTGCGGCGTGACCATCCCCCCTGGGGGGTGATTTCTCGCTTTCTGTCTCTATGTCTCTCTCTGTCTGTCTGGCGAGCGCACGCGCCCTATAGCGAAAAAAAAAAAACCTCTCCAAAAAAAAAAAAAAAAAAAAAAAGAACTATATATGCATTTTTTCTTTTAAAGACTTAGTTATTGGGGCCAGCAGATGGTCTAGTGGTTACATCGCTGGACTCCCACATAATCCACTACAGTTTGAGTCCCGGACTGGTGGCTTAAAAATCACAGCAGGAAAAAAAAAAAAAAAAAAAAAAAAAAATCACAACAGGCACATACACCTGCCCATGCCCAAGATCCCAGGAGGAGAATGGAAAAGGGATTACAGAGTGGCTATCCCTGATATTGGGGGTGATCTCTCACTTTCTCTCTCATTGTCTCTGTCTCTCTCTAGTGAGCACATGCGCCTTATGACAAAAACCTCTCAACAATTAAAAAAATAGGGGCTGGCAGATGGTGTGGTGGTTAAAGGCTTTGGAGTCCCACATGGCTGACCACAGTTCGAGTCCCAGACCTAGTGGCTTGCTTTCTCACTTTCTCTTTCCAACACACACATTCTCTCCCTCTCCGATCAAACTGAAATAAACAAATGAATAAATAAAGTTAAATAAAATAATTCTTTAAATAAATGCTTCTCTCCCTGAAGAAATTCTTATCATCAGGCAAGTTTAAAAAACTGTCGGGCTTTCTGCCATCTTTCTGTGCCGCCATAATGATGCACATGAACGTCTCAAGAGGCTGATGCCCTCAAGGGCATCAGCGATGCTGAAAAGAGAGGCAAACGCCAGCTTCTTATTAGGCCGTGCTCCAAAGTCACTGTCTGGTGTCTAATTGTGATGAAGCACGATTACATTGGCGAATTTGAAATCACTGACGACCACAGAGCTGGAAAAATTGCTGTGAACCTTACCAGCAGGTTAAATAAGTATGGAGTGATCAGCTCCAGATTTGATGTGCAACTCAAAGATCTAGAGAAATGGCAGAATAATCTTCCCCCATTGCCTCAGTTTGGTTTCACTGTACTGACAACCTCAGCTGGCATCATGGAATGTGAAGAAGCAAAATGGAAACATACAGGAGGGAAAATCCTGGGATTTTTTTTTCTTGGGATATAATACACACATACAAATAAAATGCTTCCTTGGGGGAAAAAAAACTGCTGTGACCAGCAGATGGCATAATGGTTAACATTGCTGGACTCATGCATAACTGACCACAATTCGAGTCCCAGACCTAGCAGCTTAAAACTCATGCTGGGTGCTCATGTGTGTCCAAAATCATGAGAGGAGAATGAAGGAGAAGGACTGCAGCATGACCAGCCCCCCAGGGGGTCGGTGATTTCTTGCTTTTTGTCTCTCTGTCTTGGGCAAGTGCACACGACCAATAGCAAAAATCTCTCTTCAAAAACAAAAACAAACAAACAAAAAAAACTGCCACCCATAATTCTTTCTTACCTCCAAAGCCAAGTAGAAGCATTTTAAATTGTCTATTTAGTTATATTCTGAATGTTTTCTAGTACACAAAGACAGTGATTTCTATAGCAGAATAATCATCCCCCCCCCAATATTAAAGATGATCCATTAGGTGAGACCAGCAGTTGGTGTAATGGCTATGTTGCTGGAATCCCATGTAGTTGACCTCAGTTTGAGACCTGGACCTGGTGGCTTAAACTCACACCAGGCACATGTGCGTGCATGCCCAAGATCCCGAGAGGAGTAGGGAGGAGAAGGGATTGTGGCATGGGCCGTCCTCCCTGGGGGATGATTTCTTGCTTTCTGTTTCTCTCTATCTTTCAGGCAAGTGCACACGCCCTATAGCAAAAACTCCCTTCCCCCCCAAAAAAAAGATGATCCATTAGGATATGAAAGAAAATATTGATCATATATTTAATTTACATTTCAGACTTCAGATCTGTCTATTTTAGGGGAGTGTCTTATAAACAGTAAATCAGAGGAATAGTGTATGTAAATCATTTTCCACCTGGTAAGAGAGATGTGTGACCAAAATAAAAGTAGCCCTTGTTTCAGGGATCCTGATTTGTTATTCTTTCCCCCTAAAGCCGACCAACCCTCAGCCCGTCCTACTTTGCAACAAAACGCCCACAATCCTCATATATAACATTTGCCACTGCTCTGCCCACCAAACACCACTATGCCTGATCCATACCCCTGACATAAGAGCATCCTCATATTGCATAAAGGACAATTCCTTTCCTCTACCAAGATATGAAAAGGTATTTTTTTATAGTGTTATCTAATAAATTTGGAAGGTGCCTACTTTTCTACTATTCTTAACACCCAGTAGACTCTTAGCATTTGAGGATTTAGCACACTGACTTAACAGTTGCAGTTTTAGTCGTTCACAGATAACTGTGAAGTTTCTTGACAGGCAGTAATTTGATTTTGCTGGGGCACATATGTAAAACAAGCAGGCTTTCAAGCTGGTGTGAAGGGCCAAATTACTTAGCTGGTGAGCGAGCATTTTCTCGCATACCCTGATAACTGTCTCTGCTTATTGTTATTAGGGTCAGGAAAGGCCTCTTTCATTTTTACTTTACTGCATGGGTGCTCACCAATTATCTACTAAGTTTATTCTAAAAAGGTCCTTAAATCCAAATATACATATCTACATTTTTTTTTTAAATTAAAGAACACTAAACTACAACCACTATCATGTTGACTCTAAAAGTTTTTGAGTGGGCATTAAAAAAGAACTATCATACTTATTACACTAGAATTCATATATTATTGTAAATAAACATTAAGTATACTATTCATGAATTGAGGCATTCAATCCACAAACTGCTAAGAAGTGTTAAATGTCAAAGAAGTCCATAGATGCCGCTAAGAACTCAGGGTAGAATTCTACGGTAAACATGAATTATGTTCAGAAAAAATTAACATGGTGTTTCCTGCCAACCCTCCAAGTTAATAACATGTCTCAAATAAGGCTCTTCTCTTTCTCACCCTCAAGAATGTCTTCATAAAGTGCATGTACTCCTTCAGGCACAATAACTGCCAATGCAGTTCCACAGAGAAGGCCAGCTCCCAAAACCGTCACCAACTTCAGGCGCTCCTGGAAAAAAAAAGCAAAAGAAACCACTGAGAAGACAGATTAATGAGTGGGGAAAAGTTCCTGAAGTATTTGTAATCAAGACTGTGAGCTGTTCATTTGTGAAACCAACACCTACGATGGCCAGTGAACATGAAAACTTGTCAACCTCTTAAGTAATTAATGTCAATTAAAACAGGGATGCCATTTTTTAATTGGCCAATTTGGCAATGATGTGGGGAAATGTCTACTATCCATGACAGGGAGAAATGAGTACTCTTGCCTAAGCTGCAAAAAATGTGAATTGCTATAACCTTTCTGGACCACAATATGGCAGTTTAAATTTTCAAAAATATAAATTCTTTGATCCAAAAATAACAGTTCTAGAAATTCATCCTAAGAAGAAATTATGCAAAGATGTCATCTATGAAGAGTGCAGACCTGAAAATAATGTCCAAAAAGGAGACTGGCTAAATAAGCTATTGATAATACTACATCACTGCACCAAAGCATTCAGACTTGGAAAATTATGATTCATACTGTTATGAGAAAAAAGGTGATGGTGGGACCAGCTGTTGGCATAATGGCTATGTCACTAGACTCCCAAGCAGTCAACCGTGGTCGAGTCCTGGATCTGGTGGCTTAAACTCATGCCGTGCACATGTGTGTGTGTGCCCAAGATCCCGAGAGAAGGGACTGCGGTGTGGCCATCCCCCCTGGGGGGTGATTTCTTGCTCTCTGTCTCTCTCTCTGTCTTTCTGGCGAGCACATGCACCCTATAGCAAAAACCTCTCAAAAAAGAAAAAAGGTTGGGGACCAGCAGGTGGTGTGGTGGTTAAGGCGCTGGACACTCCCACATGGCTGACCAGAGTTTGAATCCTGAATCTGGTGGCTTGCTTTCTCACTTCCTCTCTCTCTCACTCTTACCCTCTGTCTCTCTCTGGTCAAACTAAAAAATAAATGAATGAATAAATAAAATAAAATAAATTTAAAAAAAAGAAAAAAGGTGATAGCAAACAATATGTATGGGTAATCATGTATTAATTGTTAAAGTATTTATATATACAGATAGAATATAAAATATTTATAATTTAGCTACACTGAACATGGATTACTCATACAATGAGAGAATATATTTTCTAGGTGTCAATACTAGGATTCTCCTATGGTTTTAATCCAATTTAATACTGTTTTGTTTTGTTTTTTTAATCCAGGTTTTTTTGACATACTGCTTCCTGTCATACAAAATATACTAGATTAAGTTTCGAAGTTTCTTAAAGCAGTAGTATACCTAATATGGCTGAGATCTTACAAGTATGAAAGATGATCTTAAAAGTATAAAGGAGCAACTATATATGTAGCTTATAAAAAAGCTGTAATAATTGGGGCCAGCAGTGGCATAGTGGCTAAGGGCGCTAGACTCCCACATGGCCGACCATGGTTTGAGTCCCAGACCTGGCAACTTGCTTACTCTTCTCCCCTCTCTCGCTTCTCTCTCTTGCTCTGTCCCTCTCTGGTCAAATTAAAGTAAATAAATAAAGTTAAATAAAAATAATTCTAGTTTTTTAAAGTTAGAAGAATTAACTGGTATCATACATTTCATCCTTCTGTTTCATTTTCCTTTATGAGGTTAGGTTAGCAAAAACAATAGTAGCTATAGCACCTCTGGTATACTAAAGAACTTTCAACCATGAGGTTGGGGGCCTAACTAGTTCTTATAAATACTCTCTCTGAGAAAATGGGTTCTTAGCTGAAAGGCTGATTAAAACTATCTGCACCTTGTTTGGAAAGAAGGAAAGGGACCTATATCTAAATGTCTCTTTGTTGAAAAAGAGGGAACTGCAGCTATAATATCAACAGCAACTAATACCTGCTGGATAGCAAAAGGAGAATTCTCCCTCCACAACACACAGGCCAAGTTAGGTGTTCATGAATTCAGAATGGTCACTGGCTACCTATGAACTTACAGTGTTGTGAAGATACAGAGTGGTTAGGGCACTAGCCAGGGAGACGGAACTGACTCCAGGACCCTGGTACTGCAATTTTTCTTCTGTAAAATAAGAGTATTTCTACATTGGGGCCAGCAGGTGGCACGGTGGCTGGGGCACTGGGTGCTTACATGCCTGCCACTGTTTGAGTCCCAGACCCAGTGGCTTTCTTTCTCACTATCACTCCCCTCTCTGTATGTTTCTGTTTCTTTCTGGCCAAACTGAATAATAATAATAATAATAAATAAATAAATAAATAAATAAATAAAATTAAATAAATAATTTAGAAAAAAAACCCAAAGTATATTTCTATGTCTTGTGAAGATGTAGGAGGCAATAGAAGAAAGTGATTAAATATTTCACAAAAATGACACCAAATAATCAGTTTTATTATTTTACTATTTAATATTGAGCTATTCTTTTTTTAAAAATAATTATTTTGTTTTATTTTATTTATTCATAATTTTTTTTTAATTTGACCAGCGAGGAACACACAAGAAAGAGAGAGAAAGAGGGAAAGTGAGAAAGCAAGCCGTCAGGTCCAGGACTTGAACCATGGTCAGCCATGTGGGAGTGTCCAGCGCTTTAACCACCACGCCACCTGCTGGTCCCCAATATTGAGCTATTCTAATATTGTCTTTTCTAGTTTACTAACTCCCCTCTCCCCAAAACTGCTAATCATAGCCATTTATTTTTTATTTATTTTAAAAAATATTTAATTTTGTTTTTATTATTTTTTTTATTTGAGAAAAGGAGAGAAAGTGAGCGGGCAAGCCACCACATTCAAGAGTTGAATCATAGTCGGCCATGCAGGAGTCCAGCACCTTAGCCACCATGTCACCTGCCAGTAATCATAGCATTTATTACAGACAACTGTCAAAGTAGGGAGAACACAACATAAAAAACAGCTCTACTCTGTGTAGATGGCAATTAATTAGTCTTTTCATTATTCTAATTCATAAAAGTCATCTTTATTAAAAAAAAAACTCATGAATATAAAATATCATTCCTAAGGAAATACAAAAATCAAGGTAAAACTGAACTGGACTGAACATACCATTTCCTTTCAGGGACTTGGTTTCATAACTCCACAATTCAAACTAATGAATAAACTGCTAGGGAAGAAAACTATCTTGTCAGTATTCTGAGCATGCTCTACTTTGGGAAATAGAAATGAAAGATCCCCCTGCTTTGCAAACTAAGGGAAGATGAGAAATGATAAAAGGGATGCACCTAAAAGAGAAGAGCTGATTGCTCTCATAAGTTGTTTGGGTGGTAGCTCACATCATACATAAAAATGATTTCTTGAGAGATTGTACACCTAAATACAAGACCTAAAACTCAAAAACTTCTAGAAGAAAATGCAGAAGAGTATCTTTGCAATGTTAAGATTGGCAGATTTTCTTAGTAATGATACAAAAACAAACAAACAACAATGAAAACCCAGCACCATAAAAAAAAAAATCACCATCAAAATCTAAAATGTATGCTGGTCTATAAGAGAACAGACAGACCAGCTACCCAGGGTATGAAAATAGTCACAGTATGTGTATCTGTAGAGGAAATACACCCAAGGGGGGTGGGGTGCTTTCTCACTTTCTCTCCCCGACACCACCCCCACAAGTGCACACTTCTGTTTCCTCAGAAGACAAGAAGGGTGAGGTTAAACTACCCTGAGGTTATACCTCATCCTCCAGGGCAGTCCTCATCCAGTAACAGTCCTCTGGGGCTGTGTGGAAAGAGGTATTATGCCTGAACTACTTGTCTCAATTCAGGATATTTCTGAAGGGCATCCAGAGCAGGCCATGAGTGAGCTGAGGCCTCTACTGCAACTGAATTATGTTTCACCTTCTCTATCTGCTTAATCCTGTTCATTATCTCACAGGTGTTACTCCCAAGAGCACTCCCCAGTAAAGTTCCTGCATATAAATCTCCTTCTCAGAGTCTGGGGAGCCCAGGTCTAGGATACTGACAATGGACTTGAGTTAGAAATATAAAGAACTGGGACTAGCAGTTAGTGTAATGGCTATGTCGCTGAACTCTCATATAGTCAACCACGGTTCGAGTCTCAGACCTGGTGGCTAAACTCACGCTGGGCGAATGTGTGTGCGTGCCCAAGATCCCGAGAAGAGAATGGAGGAGAAGGGATTTCGGAGTGGCCATCCCTGCTGGGGGATGATTTCTCACTTTCTGTTTCTCTGTCTCTCTGGCGAACACACATGCCCTATAGCAAAAACAAACAAACAAAAAGAAATATAAAGAACTTCTACAATGCAATAACAAGAGGCTACACTATAAAATATAGTTGTAAAACACTAAGCAGATAATTCACAAAAGATGTATGAAGAGCCAGTAAATCCATGAAAAGGTGCTCAATATCATGTAGTCATCAGAAAAATATAAACCAAAACTACATGAAATACCTCTCACACTTTTCACAGTTGTCAGAAAGGACTGACAATGCTAAACATGACAATGTTGTAGAGACCGGAACTTTCATCCATTGCTGGAAGGAGCATAAAATAGTGTAACTGCTTTGGAAAACTGGCTGTCTCTTACAAAGGTAAACCAGCATTCCACTTTGGGATATTTACCCAAAAGAAATGAAAACGTCTGTCCACAAAAAAACTGTACAAGTACTTTTATAAAAGCTTCATTAATAATTGTATACTCCCTGCCCCCACCTCCCACCCCTCCCCATCTCCACTCATTCAAGACAGCCACTGTTCTAGTGTTATTACCACACATTAGTTTAGTGGGTTTTTCTCAACTGACACATAACGAGTATGTATTTATAGGGCACAGTGTGTATTTTTTCAATCCAGGGATATAGTGTGTAAATGATCACAAGGTTATTAGCTTATCCATCATCTCAAACATTTATCATTACTTTGTGTTGGGAATATTTAAGATCCTCTCTTCTAGCAATTTTGAAATAATGTAAAAATAAAGAATTTTAGAATCAGTAGAAGAGATCATCATCAAAGTAAACTTGAGTGAACTAACTCAGCTCTGTATTATTTCCTTAGAAAACAA